CCTTTTTCTCTTCTTTTTCTTTTCTTTTTCTTTTATTTTTGTTGCGACATGTATCAATTTGTTGTGCACTCTCTTTCTAGGCTTTAGAGCCTTGATTGTGGCCAGGTTCATGGCCGGCTGTTGGCCGTTACACCCCGGCCTACCAAGTTGCCATGCCCAAGCCCCTGGGGGGCTCTGATTTTTCTTGGCTAGCTTGTTTCTTGCTTGTAGCCCCCTGGGCTCTTGTTTTCTTATGCCTAGCTAGTCCGTTTTTTGCTCCTCACTCCCGTTTTCCATCCGTTTGAGCCCCACTAGCGTTTGCACTAGTGGTGCTAATATTTTCCAACGTCGAGATCCTTGATGTCGACGGCGCCGTTTGCCCCTCACGGTCGTCCCTCACAATGGCTTGTGGCCTCCCCCTTGGGACACCTCAAGTCCCCGCCGCTTCCCGTATTAGTCCCATTTTTCCGTTCCGCCGGCGGTGCCGTCGACAAGGCGTAATTTCCGGCAATTTTTTTTTGGGTTCCTTTGGCCCCCGGCGTCATCCCGGTTGATGCCCAATTTTTATTTGGGACTTCCCATGTTCCCGGAAGTCCCGTTTTGTTCTTTCCATGTGCCCCCAAGTGCCGTCGATAATTTCCCGGCCGCGGGACCCCGCCGTGCCGTTGCCGTTTTACCGTCGCACTCCCCTAGGCCCGCGGCGCCGTTTTCTAGTATTTTTGGGCATGCCGCGACCCATTTTCCCTTGGTCCGGGCATCCTTGGGCAGTCCGTTATTTCTTGGACTGCATCCACAACCATACTGCTGGCCCCACCGCCCCACGTCATGCCCCATGCCTAAGGAAAATAGTGCGTTAATTTTCCTGTAAGGCATCCGGGCTCAATTTTGACTCCCGGAGCCCCAAAACCTTATGTTTGCCCTTCCCTATGCAGTCCGTTACATCTCGGACTTTCCTTGCCTCAAACCCCCACTACTAGCCCCCAACCAAAAGAAAATCATTCGTCCAATTTCCAAGTGCATCCGGTTTCAATTTTGGCTCCCTGTGCACTCAAAACATGTTTTTGGCCTCCCCCATGCAATCCGTTATTGTTCGGTTGCAAGGGGCCTTGATTTTCTTTCATTTTCTGAGCATAAATCAAAGAAAATCGAGGTCCTTTGTAACTGCCACATTGCCAAAGTGAATCTGGTCCAAAATCCCTCCCCTAGGTGGCCGTTTTAGTCCGTTAGTGCCAAAGAGATACATTCTGCATTATGGCCCCCCGAAGACTCTTGTGAGTGATCGGGACACCAGGCTCATAAATGCGGATTGGAAAGATTTCACCTCCCAGACCTATGACATGAAACTCAAGATGACGTCTGGTCGACATCCCGAAGCCAATGGACTGGCCGAGGAGATCAACCAGACCGTGATCCAACTTCTCTGGGCTCTAATTGTACCTAATCAGAACTCTTGGGATGAGGAGTTGCCGATTGTGCAGGGGTTGTACAACAACTTTATCCACTCCTCCACCGGGATGACGCCTAACTGGCTGCATCTTGGCTGGAAAATCCGCAATCCTCTATCTTATGTGTTCCCCGAACAACCACCTGCCCTAACACGTGGCCAGCTAGGCTACAACGCTAAGTTTGATCGCCTGCTCAAAGTTGTTGTCGCAGCTATGGAAAGGCGACGCAGTGCCATGATTAAACATGCTAACAAAAAGCGCCAACCTGCACCTTTCACAGTGGGAAGTTTTGTCTGGGTCAAAATGTCTGTGTTTTCTGAAGAAGAAGGGTGTATCACGAAAACTTCTTCCTCGGTACTACGGTCCGTCGAAGGTGTTGAACCAAGTAGGGAGTGATTCCTTTGGCCCTTGTATACGATCGACGTGCCTGCTCATCTGCGCACATATCCAGTCTTTCACGCATCGAAGTTGTTTCCGTATGAATCACCCGAAACTTTCAAGTATCGAGAATCGATGATTCCCCGCGCAATCAATGGCGGTCATGAGATTGATAGGATTGTCGAGCACAGTGGGAAGGGAAGAAACAGACAGTACAAAGTCCATTTTATGTACCACCCGTTGGATGATTTCTACCGGATTGCTAAGAAGGACTTACTGCAGAGTGCACCGCGCGTCGTTAACGCCTATGAACGATTGATAAGTTCTGAACAGCAACCAAAATTCACTGCTACCCTGATTCCTACGGAACACACCCGATCTCTCTTTGCTATCTACGCCTATGATGCATTATCCGAGGACTCTAATTTGAGTTACCCGCTCGAAGGGACCTTGCTCTTGAGGGGGGGGTAGTGTAATGACCCGTCATAGCACAGACTGAGAACACTGCTGATTTCTGAAGTTCTGCTGATGGAATGGATGCATTGCTGAGATTCCCGCATTCTGCTGTGCTTTCTAAGTCTGTCTGTGTGGGCGTGCTTGTGACCTGTGTGCCTGTCTGAGTGCTTGTCGGTATGAGTGTGTGTGTGACCCGCAAGGGTACTTGCTTGTTTGGCAGAGGCCCGTAGGGCCGGTACTTACCTGTGGCCGTGGCATTGAGGGTTGTAGCAGGGAAAAACACTCAAGTGGCGAAGCTAGCAGCCCCGCGGCCTTGGGATAGCGGAAAAACACTCAAGTAGGCAGGTAGGCCGAAACTGCACCCCACTTCAGTTGGCGTGAGGGGGTACTGGAGGCCGAGCAGAAGAAGACAAAGTTGGCATTTTTAGAGTCCAGTAGCGGTAGGGTAGGTCTAGGCCGGT